TTGCCACGCGCTCTCTGGGTCTGAGTTTCCCAATACTGGGGGTCTTCCTTCCCCACCTCCTCCATCCAGGAGACTCGAGGCTGCATCTTCCTGGTGTTGCTGTCGTAGTAAACGAAGACTTGATCGTCCACGTACCCCGGAATGACAAAGTGGGGCAGCCCCTGACTGGGGTCTGACATGGAGGTGAAGAAATACTTCATGGAGTGTGAGGATGAGCCTGGAAGGGACCCAGAGGGGCAGAGTTAGGGGGCTTCCGCTGAGGGACCCTGATGCTATGGGACCCTGCCATTTTGAGGGTCTGGGGAGGAAGAAGAGACTGGGGGGGCTGGGGGGCCGAGGAAGAAAGGGAAAGGAAGGGGGAGAAGATGGAAGAGGGACAGGAGGCCGAGGGCGGAAAGAGGGAGCGACTGAGAGGCAAAGAAGCAGCTTCTGGAGGGCCTGAAGGGTTGGAGGGCAGAGAAGTTGGGGGGTGAGAGAGGAAGGGAAAGGAGGGCCAAAGGGTAAGCAGGGCCAAAGGGCAAGCAGGATCCCCAAACCGTATCTGCCCCCCCAAATTGTTCCCTCCCCCCTTCCAGCAAGGCCTCCCTCAAACCCTCTTCTGGATTGTGGAGACTCTGCCCCACGGAGGCTGCAGTCACCCCACAGAGAGGATTCTATCCCCAGAAGCTCAAAAGCAGCAGGAAACCCCACCTAATCACCCCAACTTTCCATTCACAGGAAAAAAAATATTCTCACCTCACTGAGGGCCAAAATGGGTTGCTAATAGTGCAGATTTTAGGGGAGATTTTATAAAATGGGGAGGGAAAGGGGGGAAGGAGGAATCTGGGTGAGACCAGAGGCCATGGGACCCTTGGGGGCAAAGCCAAACTGCTTGCCAGGAGATGTGGGCAGTCAAAGGGGGGAGCGAAGGGAGCGGGAATGAAGCCACACAGCCCCCGTGGATCTTCCTGCTTGGCCCCCGGCTGGGAGATTCCCCCTCCAGTCCCAGAGTTAAGGCATCTGAACAGGAATTGGCTTTGAACCCAGGACCAAATGGGTCACCGTCATTCCACAGAAAATCTCACTGCTGACTATCCCAAGATCTCTTAAGTTCAGCAACACAATTAGGGTACAGAAACCGTTCTTCCCAGGGGCTTGCAACACCCAAGATTTACTCTAGATCTAAAGCACCTTGTTCACTTTCCAGGGAACACCTTCAGGAAGTTCTCCTCCTTCTGGACTGATCCTGCACTTTTCTCCAGCAGCACTTTGGAAATCACCCTCCACAAGCAGAATCACAGCATCCGCGAGTGGAAAAGAGCCACAGAGGTCCCCCAGTCCACCCCTGCTCAGTGCAGGGACCCCAATGAAAGCCTCTTTCTTCCCCCCAAGATGGCTCCAGCCTCCGCTTCAGCCTCTCCAG